TACCTTGACCAAGCAAATCAATATATAATCAAAAAGTTCAAGATCTCTATTTCTAACATATCATATACAGATTTTATGACCACAAATTCTAATACTCAACAACAACAACAACAACAACAACAAAAACAATAACAATTATATAACAACAACAACAATCGATCAGTTCTACTAATAAATCTAAAACTTCTAAAATTAACAAACAACAACAATATTGTTCTAATAAATCTATTCTGAAATTTAGAATCTCTAATATTGATAAAAGCCTCTTTCTAATTTAAAACTCACTTTATACTTTATACTTTAACACTTTAACTATATATCTTATATATTCTATTATCTTTCATATACTTTATAACTTTATATACTAAATATATTCTAGTATCTTTTATTATATTTTATAACTTTATACTATTAAATATACAAATCTTATAATTTAGCCTTATTTTTAAATTTATTCAATTAAATACTCTATTTACTCTATATTTATTTTTTCTTAAAAAAATCTAGGTAAGTCTTTGACTACTCTAGTAGATTTAGGTCATGAATAAAATAGTCTGAGCTTTTATTCTTGCATATAGTTTTTACTTTTTATATTTTATATATTAAGGTTAGCAACTCCTTGTAGTTACTATAATAAAAACTATTAATAAAGATATAAGCAAGGTCTCACCTTAATACTAAAAAAAAAAAAAAAAAATATTTAAAATCTTTAAAAATCTTATGCTAACTAAAATTTAGACCTTTATATCCAACCTCTATCTTACTCTAAAGTTGCACTTTAATTCTAAATTTTAGCTAAAAATATATTAATACTAATAATATCTATAGTATTTTTTTTTTTGTTTTAGCAATTCTCACTTTATTATTTAAATCAGTAAAAAAATATCTTTATAGAAGCTAATCTACACAGTAAACTTTTTATATCTGTACTAATAAAAAGTTACTTGACTATTTAAATGAAACCCTAAAAATAGATTTAGCAAAAGGACCCAGATGCAACTCGTCTAAGTAGTTCAAATTTATCTTGTTTAGAATTCTCAACTTACTGAGAATTTATATCTCAAGAGTCTACAGTAGGTGCTATTGACTTTGTTAAAATTATTGCTCTATATAATATATTACCAATCTGAAAAAATATTTTTTAATAAAAATTTAAAGCCCAAAATAGAGTAAGAGAAATATAAAAAAGAAGATACAGTCAGACTCCTAAATACACATCATCGAAACCAGCTTCAAAGCGTGTATTTAGGGGCTGCAATTAAGGAACAGCCAATAAGATTGCTAAAGATCTTAGTTATATAATGCATAATTAATTTTATTGCAAATATCGGTTTAGATTTTCTACCAGTTCTTTTACAAGTTTACTTTTTCTTTTTTCTTTTTTTATTTATTTATTTTATTTATTATAACCCTTAACCTATAATTTATTCATTTATATATAAAATAAATTCTACGATCTATATATTGTCTATTCTGATTAAGCTATATTTTATGATCCCTAGCCTTCCAAAAAATTACTAATTTATTTGTTACTCAGTCAATTGGTCAATTTGAAAGAAGTTTTCAAAGCTCATTTGCTTAAAAGATATGCTTCGAATTTTTTTTATTGCCTTTTGCAAATTTTAATAATGCTTGGCTATAATTCAACCAGGCTATATCACTTAGATCCTGCTGTATAAGATATTGTTCTAGCATCTCTACAGTATTTAGCACTTTGTAGTAGGTAATTAGTGAGATTTTTTTACTGTTATTTTCATCTTCTTCACTATTGTCATCTTCATTTAGATCTTTCCCAGGTTCTATGTTAGTAACTAAAGTTAAGATTTTCTGATCATTCAAGGCTTCATTTGTATCTTCCTCCTCTAGATAATTAATGTAGACTTCAAGATCTATCGTATTTTGAAAATTAAGTGCTTCAATATCCACTTTCATCTCTTCTATTAACTCATTGTCATTATCATCATTAGTAGGCTCTTTGTTACTTTGAACTAGAAGAATTTTTGTGTGCTAGAAGCAATTACGTACCTATAGATAAAGCGAAATCATTTTTTAACAAAATTAATATTTTAATAAATTACTTACTGTATCATTGTGAAATAATGCTCCAGGGTGTTATTTCATGATGATACAGTATGTTATTTAATTTATTTCTTCTATTATTAATTAATTTAACTACTGCACTCTAATAATTTTTTTTTTAAGATTTACTATAACTTATTCTGTTTATGTATGTACTGTTTCTGATGACACCTCTTTTCATGCTTAAACAATAAAATTAATAGCATTAAAAACATTTAATTTATCATCTTTTTTAGATTCATACTGATTAAGCAACCATTTTATGAAATAATTTTTATAACGATGCTTAAAAGATATGATAATGCTAGTATTCAGAGGTTGTATATGAGATGTTGTATTTGGAGAAAGATAGTAGACGGTGGTGTTGTGAAGATTTAAATTACTAGAAGAATAGCATCTGGCATTATCTACTAAAAGAATTACTTTACGGCCAGCCATTTTCAAGTTGAATTCTTTAAGCCACTTTTGAAACAACACAGTCATCATCCATGCCTTGCTACTTGACTTATATATGACACTGAGCCTGTTGTATTTGATATATTTGAAATACCGTGGGTTGGGTAACTTATCTATTACAAAGAGTTTATATTTATTAGTCCTATTAGCATTGGCACAAAGTGCCAAAGTTAATCATTCTTTATCCTTTTTTTTACTCTTAAGACAAGTAGTTGCTAGCATAGTATCTGGCTCAAGACTAACTAATGAAAGAAAAAAAGAAGAAATTAATAAGTATTGATTTGGGTGATACCAAGAGAAAATCAGATTTTGATTATATTGATCAAAGTCTAATTTTCTCTTAGTATCACTTATTTATTATTATATACTGATAAAATAGCCCTGTTTTGTCCATGTTGTAAATATCTTTTAAATTATATTCTTTTAGAACATCTCTTAATAGAAAAATAGCTATTGCAACTATATTATTATCTACAGAAAAATCTTCTCTATGCTTTTTTATTTTTCCTAAATCATATCTTTTTTTGAACTTAAATAACCATCCATGTGAAAACTTAAGGTCGCTATCAGTATTTTAACATTTTAGCAAAAGTTTTTGCTTTTTTAATTAAATTAAATCATTTATTATAATTTTATCTTGATATTGTAGAACCTATTCAAGTAATGTATTTTCAAGATCTGGGTAATAAACTGTTCTTTGTTTTTTCTTAGAAAGATTATTGCTAATATCATTTTTATTTTTTATTAAATGTCCAATAGTAGTCGAATGGACTTCAAAATTAAATTTTTCTTTTACTCATGAAGCAAGATCAACATGGCTAATATTTGGGTTTTTATTTTTGAACTCAATAATTTCTTTTTTCTGTTTATTATTAAGAGAAATTTTTTTACTCGTTTATTAGAAGATATACTACTATTGTAATAGCTTATAAAGGTAAGTTTTACCTAACAACAATATGTTAGATAAATCTTTTTTATAATTATCTTATTTAAACTTTTTTTTTGTTTAATTATAAGGCTTTATTATTTGGAGAATTGGCATCCAGAATTCTACAATTTTACGGTATGTAATTTTCTCATACTGAATTTTTTTTTTTTTTTTATACATAAAAAAATACAAAAAAAAAGAAAAAAAATTGGTATAGAAATACTTATACGTTACAGAATTCTGGACATTTCTTATGATTTAATTGTGACGCTAAAATAAATATTTTTAAGGCTTATTGTTGTAATATTTTTACTCTTAAATTTGTTGAGACAGAGTATACATGTGTATCTAAATTGTTTATTTTAATAAAAAAGTAATTATAGTATTTAGGATGCTGAAATTATTTTTATATAGTGCTGAAATTAATTTTCATATTTGCTAAATTATTGCCAAAATTTTTTAAACTCTTTTCATCAAAATATATCAAATAATATAGTTATTTTGAAGGGTTTATATAAAAAATTTAGCAATGCCGAAATGTTTGCTGAAAATATAATTTTTCAAAAATAATTTAGACACTATATATAGAGCAGAAATCTTTAGGTCCTGCTATGAATTGCACAAATCCAACTGCAATAATACAAAGCTAAATAAAGCTTTGATTAGAAAATTCAAAATAAAAAGATTTTGGCTAGATCTTTTGTTGAGAATCACTTGCATTTTTTTATTGTTATTTTTTTTATTTGTTTAGTTTTTTTAAAAAACATGCATATTTAATTACATAAGTTTTAATTGCAATTGATTTTTAAATAAAATATTTAAGAAGAGAATCCCCAACATTTGGTTGAATTACTTTATCTTACTTTATTACAAATTTGAAATATAAAAATCAGATATTGGTTCTCTTTACTATGTACTAGAGTTACCTTTTTCCCTTATACAGTATATTGGTACAGCTTTTACAGCACTTTAATAACCAATAAATTACAAATTAGGAATATAAAAATCGGGTATTGGTTTTCTTTTACCAGTATTAGAGTTACCTTCCTTTTATACAGTATGTTTGTGCAGACTTCTACAGTACTTAATACAATAGATTTATTAATTAGATTGTATACAAAATTTGTCAAAAATTTTATTAATCCTTTTAAAATTATTTAAATTAATAGCTATATATATGTATAATATGTAATGCAACTAAACTAAAATTTTGATATTCAAAAATATTATTCTTAATCTAACTTTTTAAATCATTTCATTTACATTAATTATTTCATTAGCTCTGGATATAAAGAGTATTTATTAATTATTAAAATTAAAATCTGCAAATCTGATTCACAAATCAAGAACATAAAACTATTTCTAAAATTCTCAAATCATTTCATTCACCTTAATTATTTCATTTAACTCTAACCAGTTTATCATAACATACTTTGAAATAATATAAGGTTCTTCATTTTAGGAATAATGAATATGTATGAAGAATTTTAATATTTGAAGCATTTTCAACATTAACAATTATGTTAAAATTTTTTCAAAGAGATTTAGTTCCATTTCAAATCTTGAAATTTTGAAATCAGCTTTTTTTACGAATGCATTTAGAAAATGATTGCTCTACATATTATTTTATTTGACTTAATCACCTCTGAACATAAAGAATATTTATTAATTATTGAAGTTAAAGTCATAAAACCAGCTCACAAATCAAGAACATAAATACTGTATTTATTTATCATTTCATAATACCCTTCGAATCATTTTATTCGCCTTAATTATTTCATTTAGCCTATGAATATAAAGATTTTATTAGTTAGTTAGAATCAATAAAGCAAGTTTTCAAATATAACCATATTTATCATCATATAATGCTCTTAAATTATTTTATTTGTGTTAATTATATCTTCAGCTCACAACCTTTCAAATCATGTTATTCATATTAATTATTATTTAGCTCATGAATATAAAGAACATAAATTTTCTTTTAATCATAATAAATAAGCTCTACCTTGAATAAAAAATTAAAAAAAGTAGATACGATATGAAAGCCTAAAAATTGTAAGTTGAAAAATACAAGATTACAGTATGATTTTTCAAAAGTTATTTACCCGAAAGGCTACTTATTCAATATCACAAAAGTATCAAATTGTTAAAAATATATATCTGCAGCAATCAAATGCTAACCCTAACCCTATGTGATATCAGATAAGTGGCTTGTCAGATAAATAGCTTTCAGGGAATTGAGCAACAACCTAGTAAGAGAATGGTACAAATCATTGTTTAAGAATAGAGATGTGCTATTACACACTTATCAGTGTGAGGTATCTTATTTTAATTAGATTTATATCATTAGCCAATTAACATCTCACTAATAAGTGTGTGATAGTACATCTTTAGCTATGGATTATAATTAAATACTATGAATCATAGTGCTATACGATTTAAAGATCATGTAAAAACTGTTAAAGCACTAAATGAATTTGATTAGTTAACAATCATATAAATGTATTTATGGAGAAAGTTTATTATAAACAGGCTAAAAAAATAGCATGCATTTATAGAATAAAGAATGTGTATTTATCTATAAATCCTACAATAGAACTAGGTTATATTATGTATTTAGGGGGTATTGTATTTAGAGAGGGTGCATTTAGGGGGTCTGACTGTATTTTGAAAAAGAAAATATATAAAAAAATAAATATACTAAAAAGGAGTCAAAAATACAATACAAGACCAAAAACTAAAGAATCTATCTATCAAATTAGTATTTGCTAATCAGAATACTTGTCTATATAATCATAGTAATTATATAGAACTCATCTGGCATATATAAAAAAACTATACTAAGTGCACTTTAATCTGTATCAAGGCCTAAAAATTATATACATATGATTTTAAAATTATATATCTCAAATTCTCTTTATTGCCCTAGCTTTAAATCTATACAAGTTACTCTTGATATAAGAAAGTTTTATATAAAAAACTCTTGATATAAAAAAGATTTTACAAGTCTTAATTGAGAATTTTAATAATAAAAAATATTCGATATAAAAAATCTCGATATAAGAAAGATTTTAACTAGACCTAGTAACTTTCTTATATCAAGAGTTACTTGTATTCTATTTTAAAGCATAACAAATAAATTGACTTCTCATGTTTTCTCAGAATCATCTTGTCTAATAGGTATCTAAGTTCTTAAAAACTGTCTAAGTTCTTAATATACTAAGATCACATTTTCAAATAAGAAATAAATTACTTTCTATATAATCACATATTTATTGTGTTTATATTATAAAGTCACCAAATATGAAAGTAGTAAATAATGCTAATCTTTTAACAGGAGATAGCCAAATCTTCCACTTTTTGTTAAAAATTAGTTTTGGAAATATCAAAGTAACGAGAATAGTTATAGTCTTGTAAGTTTCTAATAAAGGTTTTTTTTTTTTTTTTTTTTTTTTTTTTTTTTTTTATTTTACTAAGACCGATATTACAGGCCTACTGCCTTTATTTGTGTTTTTGGTTAATGCATTACATATAATTTGTACAAGGTGAGTGTGCAACTAGCCACACGTACAACTTTTGGTTACCTAATTTAAGTAGTCCACCTGAAGGTTCTATACTAGCTGCCATATCTGTAATCTGCTAGGAGATTACTTATTTAAACACTCTGATCCTAATACTACACCCAGGCAAGTAACACCTGGTTCCCATATAACTAAGTGCCGTCTAACCCAACATTTAGCCTCCCTTTTTCTACATCTGTAAGGCTGTTACACATTTTAGAGTACATCACCTGACTGTAAGGTTAAGGGTATCTCCCTAATCCTTCTATATCCCACATATTTCTGAATTAGGTTCAGAGAACC